AAAAAATAATTCTTTTTACTTCAGGATTATTTTTAGAATTTATATATTGTATAGAATTATTTTCTTGTTAATTTCGTATTTTAAAAAAAGCAAAAAAGAGATTTATTTATAATCATTTTGCGTTTGTAATAGAACACAGCATCTAATACTTTATTGCTCGGAAAGATATATGAAAAAGAGAATAAATGGTACAGTATTTTATACTAAAGATACAAACACACAGACACGCGCGCGCGCGCATTAATTAATAGGAGTATATTTAATGAAAAAAAAAATTGTATACAAATATAATATATACGATAGTTAAATGTTACAAAGAAGGAAATAAAAATGATTCTTTCATTATAGTATTATATTAAATAGTTTTATTTTGAAATTAAATAACAGATATAAGCAATTTGTTTGTTTAATTTCGCAACATTAATAATCGAGAATATAATATACAGAATATTCTACAATGAGTTATTAATAATGTTTTACTGGCAAATATATCATCGAGATAAGTTGATTTCTTCAAAATTTACTGAAATATTAATTTTTGTTAACATTTCTCAGTGCCTACAACGGTATTTGGAAGTCCAAAGTATACAAACAGTATATAGTAACAAGTTTCTAACGCAACGATTTGTTACGTTTGTACGAGAGAATAAGTCTCAATGAACAACTACCGCATTATATTATTATTCATCTTAAGCATATAAAAAAGAAATGGAATAGTTGTATTATACTACAATTCGACAATTTTACACATAACGTCGTCATTTCTTTTCGTCAAGGATATCTCGGCCTCCAAGCAGCGAGCATGCTTTCGCGATTTTTTCGTAGGGACGTGGCCTTTAAAGCTTTTCCAATTCACGCATGAGAGAAGTACGCGTGCACCGGCTGCGACGTACAGGAGGACCGGTGCGTCTTCTCGGCCATGTTCGTTTAAAGCCCCGTCGCACATCCTCCCGCTCATTCTCGCTCGTAACCACCTACACCGTAAACGCGCGGTGCCGCTTCTTCATAGTATGTGCGCGTCGATTCATTCATTCTCGTCGCCGTGTTCGCGCGTGCACGTGCACGGAAAATGCGTATACGCGCGCGCGCACGCACACACACGCACGCACGCGCGCACGCACGCACGCACGCACGCGCGCGCGCGCGCGCGCGCGCACACACACACACACACACACACACACACACCGTGCGACGGCGGCGGCGATTCGCGCGGTCAAGCCCGACGACGGCGACGACTGTGAATGAAATAGTTGGATCTGTCAGTGCCAACTATCACGCCGTCCCCGACGTACGCGGTGCATCTCTCTCTCAGATCTTATCTGCCATCGTGCGTCGTCATGCGTCGTAAGGGATAGCGAGTGGCCGCGAAAAGACCGCGATTACTCCGACCTGAAGGTCGTGCACTGTTCAGGGCTCTCGGAATCGTTCTAATTCCGATATATTTGATTCTTAATATCGTTCGGAATATTACAAATGCAAAAGGAAACTTTAACTTTCGGTGATTGCATCTGTGAATTAAAACAATCCGCAAAAAATAAAAAGAAGAAATCTTTTGCTCGCACCATTAAAGACCAAAAAATAGAATTAAACTGCAATGCGAGAGATACAACTTGGCTGGACTTAACTATGGAGTGAGAATGAGAAGGATTTTTACTTTTTTTTTTTCTTTTTTTTCCCTCTTTCCCCATGCAAAGCCTAGATGCGTGCGCTCGTTTTTCCAATCTAGAAAGGGGTCACGAAGAAGCGTAGCTGGATATAGACATATCTTTTAATTCGACCCTGAGCTACTTTTATAATCGCTGAATTATAGTTGATGGGGGTTGCTCTATTCCTGAACTCTCTGAAATTAAGTCAGTTTCAGTCCTAGCGCGATATCTTTCACCGCGATCTATCGTTTCCTTTCTCTCTTTTATTTCTTCCTAATTTTAGACCACTGTGTGATCACTCTGGAAAAATTTCCATTGGGTGATAGCACCAGGAGACGACCGATAAGGAGTATGAAATAATCAACGCGCGTGATAACAATTCTAGTGAGAAATATCGATATTATAAAATATCGCCTAATCGAGAAACAGTTCCGTTTATCCGAATTTTTATCACCTAGAGCTTCCTTTCCGCTTGTAGCGTTTGTCTGCGCCGGATTTTTTATTCATAACTGGTTACTTCACTGCTCGCTAATTTATATGTTATCTGCATTCCAATCTCGTTGGAACGTACGGAGAATTTCTTTTTTAAAATTGGTCGCGCATGTAAAAAGAGTGAGTCATCTAGATTTAGAACGAATAAAACAGAGAAAGTGTGCGCGATAAGCAAATTGACGAGAGAAAGATTTGCTGTGTGCGATGTCTCTTCTCATGAACCAACGTGCGGAAATCGAATCTCAGTGATCTCATGTGCGCGATTGCCGAAATGCTGAGCAATACCGCGAGATCTTCCTCGGCCAGGACTATGAACGAACGCATCATCATCATCATCTGGCACAGCTGACCAACGTGTAAGTATAACGACAAAGAATTGCACCTGCGAATTCTCATAGAATCTCGGATGCGATTCCCATCCGGCGATGAAAATAGTATAATCGCGCGACTCGCGAGCGAACGAGTGAGCGAGACGACCGGTACGATAAGATACACCAAGAGAGATGAGGTATCAGAGCGTATGTTAAGTTATTGCTCGTCATGGTCGAACTTAAACACGTGGAGTAATTTATCAATCTGCGAATATGTTACGGAAGCGCTTAGGCGCTCGCGTCGCCCGGAGAACGGTTTGCGGATCTCGGCGGCGAAAAAGCGTCGCGATGTAAAATAGAATTGGAAATCTGGAAAAGTATCTCACCCGTATTTTGATGCCGATAAACCGATTTAAAGATGATAACGAAAGAAAATAAAAAATTTTTGAAGCCGCCTAATCGTATAGTGTTCGAAGTTGAAAAGTGTTACAACATTCACTGGTACAAGATGTAATAATATTTCTTGACACTTTCAAAATTTCTAATCTTTATTCTAGCAAATAGAAAAAGTCAGACATTAATAATCAGTCAGACGAAATTACAGATGAGAAATAAAATCAGCAAGCATGAAGTAAAGCAAGAAGCAATCTCCGATGAGATCGGAGAACCGCGCAAAAATCTCTTGTTTTTACTAATAAATCAGTAGTATATAATTGAAAGTTAGAAAATTCATTGTAATTTCGGAAAATAAAATATATGCTTATACAGTTGTTTCAGCTTTAATATGTACAGCGATAATAACAATTATACGTAGATGTTAATAAAAAGAAAACTAAAATCGCGCAACGTCACGTTTTGATATGAAGTAATCGTGAGTGGTGGACAAGTGGGAATTAATTTAGTTTCTTAGCACGGTATACAGTGAGAATGAGAAGCGTGGCCAAGAGAGCATGTAAAAATATCACGGAGACGACTTGGGAGTACCAACTGCGCCGAATCTCACTCGCGTGTGGTCCATTGCGCGGAGGAGAACTTCTCTCGAATTGCGAGCGATAACATTTTGCGTAAACTGGTCGCGAGTATCTTACAAACAAGCGGTAGATAAACGCGCATCTGTTTAATCTGTTATCAGATTAGTCAACGCGATCGTGCCGTGATATATCACACCACCCAAGAATCATACCACCGAGAGACATCTCGCAATTGGAGAACGCGAGTGCAAGGCGAATTCCATCGATTAGAGAGATTCATTTATAAAACATTGAACTTATTAATTTTGCAATTTTAACTTTTAAATGAAATATTAATATTGAAAAATTTACATCTTATTATTTGTTTGACTTGAACTTTTTATTTATTATTATTTATTACTATTTATTCTATTGTCAGAAAACCGATGTCTGAAATCTTACGAGAATAACAAAAGCGAATCAACACGATGATTTTATTCTCCGATCTCGTTTTTATTTGTGTATCCGACTGTAGCACCACAACCATTTATATGATATAAGGTATAAGGGTCCGTAATTGAAGAAGCAAGTGTAAGGTAGCGCTTGCGTAATACTCTCTCGGCGATGCTCTTATTGTTGCCCGCCAACGTGTTTATGATACGTGGGTGGTGAAACGTAGGGACAATAAAAGAATATAATGCATATAACAAGAGAGTTCAATATCGGCGCGATTCGTTGAATTATCAAATGTACAATTGGAAATCTCATAAGTTAGAAGCGTAAGTTAAAAGTTTCATGAATTCTCCAAAGTATCCACCTTATCTTTAAGCATTTTTTCGTAGATTACAAAAATTCATTATTTTACGAGAGTGACGAGTACTTATTAACTAAATAAATAAGTACTACTACTCAGTAGTATTTATATATACATATAATATATGGTATACTACAATTTTCAATACATAACCGAATTTGAATTGTAATAACGCACAATGTAATATTTTAATATTCGTTAATTTTTCTAGCTCAACAAATCTTAATTTAAAAATTATTTTATAATTTAAATTATTCTTTCAATTAATTGTTTCAATTAATGTAATTTATCAGATCATTGATATAATATTTTGATTGATATATAATATTTCTATCAAGAAATTTGGAGTGACATGGAAATGCAATTTACTAGAACAAATACAAAGTAATAAATTAGATAAATGGGTATGTGACCAATCAATCAGGATGGGCAAATCATTTGAAATTATTCTCTCGTGAGAGAGCTTAATTGAAAAAAATATACGCGCTTCATCGGTACTTGGGGGACAGTCAAGTTCAATGAATTAGTATGTCAATTAAATCATATCCCTAATAACACATGTAAATTCTGAGAATGTTTAAAAGTTGTCGCAAAAATATTTTACATATTCCTAAAATATTCGAAATACAAGGATATATTGTACATAGGAACTGTATATAAATTTCTATGTCCCACTTTTTTTATTTATAATTTACAAAACATCTTGTAGTATGAGCCAAGGATATCTGTAGAATCTTTTATTTAAAACACATCTTTAAGCATTTAAAAAATACTTTTAAGACATTTTCAACTTACCGGTGCATCTAATCGAATTCGCTATTAATTTCTATGTTTTGAGTGTGTCCTAAAAAATATACGAGAAATGATACATACAGAGAAATGTTATAAAAATGTTCTTAGTATGCTAAATATTTATAATACATTCAACACGAAGCATAGAATATTTGAATATCATATGTTGTTAGGGATAAGCCTACTACAAAGAGTACATTAATGATATACAATACTTGGCATTTAACATTCATCGTCACTTATTCAGACTGCACGCTCAGATATTACAGCTTGATTTTCTTTTAAAGATATATTATGTCGTTTATATTATAAAGTTTTTATTTTTTCTCTGTCTTCTTGCATTTAAAATTATTTGTTTATGTTATATAATCCACTTGCAAGAAAATATCAATTGATTACATCGATTAGCAATTCTTAAGCAATTATCCAGCAATTCTTAAAACAGATACTTGAAGATAACAACCTTATCAAATGTATATTTGTATTTGATATAATAATTTATATAGTAATATATAGCACAACTTTCTTATTCTTTTCTACGATGTATTTCGATGTACTTGCATCAAATTAATGAAATTAGATAAATGAAGGAAATGACAAATTATAATTGCAAATGTGTGAGACTACCGCAGCCATGCTAGTTTTTTGAATGAGAAGTGAGTGACATATAGATCTGACAAGAGATCAGGTGTCGGTAAAATCTCACATCTTTATCTAACTACGGCAAAATTATTCTCGCGCGCGACTAAATTACACGTGGGTATACGCTGTTTTATTGAAATTGCTGAGGAAATCGTCGCGTATTTGAATGCGTTCCAGTTACACAGTTCATATCACAGTTCATCAAGTCCGGTTTCAATGTCGACCTTTGCCGAGTCAAGAGCGGACCTTACATAATCATTGCTTTAAAAGGAACCACGAAAGACGCGCATATAAACAGATAATATCACTAGCCAGACACACACACACACACACACACACGCGCGCGCGCGCGCCCGAGATAATAATATGTCTAATAATATATCTAGCCGATATAAATCAGGATCTATGCTATGAAAAAGGATTTGGGTTCATATGAAAAATGTACATATGAAAAAGTTGTGGAAACTTGAAATATCGGATGACGAACAGAGAATGTCAAACAAACTTTTTTAAATATTTTATCATTTTCTCCTTTTTCTTCTTAGATATTTAATTAATTTAAAGAAAGAAAGATTAAGAAAAATTGCAGGAAATGGGAAAATTTATTAATTTATTTAAAGGAAATATCTAAAAAAATTTCTTTATAAAGATATAGAAAATTTTTGTGTTATAAATGATTAAAATTGAACTCTTTAGATAGGATAGAAATAAATTAAAACCAATTGGATCAACTATGCAAATTGACTCCAATAAAATGTTAAGCTAACGTTAAACAACATATTGTTGCCTCGGAGATGAATTGATGGAGTTGAATTAAAATTAAAGTTTTAAGAAAGCTGAAAAATATATGTTTAATTCCAATTCGAAAATATTTTTTAATTGTACATAGACATATTTAAATGTATATACATAAAATAGTACACCATAAAATTAGTACACCTTACTCCACCATGATATAAGCTTAGGAACAGAAAAGAATTATTTCAACAGTTATCGTTGCTTGAAGTTATACGACGAGCGTGTAATAAAGTCACCGATAACGTGCAAACGAACGGGCGCAATGCATCGTAAAACTGTCATTAACAACGTTCGCACTGCCCTTGCCGCATTATCGGCTCGTCGGCCGACGGACATAAATTATCGGGCTCGAATCGTTCCGTACTTACGAACGGAACGCGTGGAAAAGCGATTGTCCAGTATGTCGTTTAATAAAACATCGGGATGTTCTATCGATTTGACTACGAATTTCGCGCGCGATCAAGAAGAATCGCAAGGAATATTCACGATCTCACCGAATGGACGTGTTTTTTCATTTTTGTAAAATAAATTTCTTGTAATATGATATTGAAAAGGATACCGCACATCTATCATTGAGATCTGATCACAAGAAAGAAACTTGATCGAGCTCATAAGACGATCTCAAAGAATAATTGTATCATTAACGGTGTTGTGACGATCGTGATTGTGTCAATCGCTAGATTTCGACGATGGACCTCTTCGCTTTGTTGATCAGAGCGATCACGAGTTGGCGATTCAAGTGAGTAGTATTCTACAAGCTTTTTACTATTCAATATCCACAATGCACGCGTTAGCTGTGAAACCCGTTTAATTAGACGTATAAACATGTCGAGCCGTCATGTTTCACGCAGATTAACTGACTGTTATTCATCAAGGTGCGAATTGTAAACAGACGCGCGTCGTTAAAAGTATCGTTATCGAGATACGATACTTTTTTTAAAGACCGAGCTTTTGACACCTGCCGTTTTCATCGTAGATAGATATTATTTAGAACGATGTAATTAACATATTGTGTCGAATCTCAAGTAAAACTTGAATTTCAATTGGAA